GCGTCGTTTGTGGCGGGAGGGGGGGGCATCGCGGGAGGCATTGCAGCATCAAATGAAAGCGGCTTCTGTCAAACTGAGTGTTGTTAGACGTTCGCGCCTTCCCGGCTGGAACCCAGGTGATCCTGGTTATGTGTGGCTCACAACTTTATAGGACATTACACGCAATCGACCCCAGTGGAGGGTGCGCCCGACCTTTCAGCTAATACTCGCGTGTGGTTGTCGGCTTATGTCGGTGAGGTTTGCAAAGGGCGCCGGGTCGACCCCGCTGGTGGCGTCTTACTTCGGCATGATGTCCGTATGTGGTAAATTCTGTCCAAAAGTGTAATAACCTTATTCTTCATCGTCTTCCTCAAGATTACGGGACTTATTCACGCTAATTAGCTTTCCACTCGTTATTAAGTCTTCCTTACCGCTAGGTTATATGGCCGGTGAGCTGTTAGTGATGATGTTGATGACGATGATGGCACTGAAGTGTATTGGATGAAGTGGTTACAGCTGCCGCAGTTTCTATTCGCTGATATTTGAGGAGTAGGAAATAGGGAGAAGAACGGTAAATTGCAGCCAGGTCTTCTTATCTTCACAATTGTTCTCAGCATATGGCCCCATAAACTTGCCTTGGACTTTCAGGGCTTTTTGTTTGTCTGACTAGGTTGTACTTCGTGTTTGTTTTTTTATATACTTCCCTACAACACAACGATATTCTGTTTCTGTTCATTGATTCTATTTTAGTTTCGATTCCCTACTTGAATTAATGGGATCGGCGACGAAGGAGCTGCAAACAGGTATGTTCTTCCGCCTATTGCACGACATGTGCCCGTTACCTCTGAACCATTTGACTAGTGTGGAACAGGTGAACCAAGCAGTAGAGTACATTTGTCATTCATAACGTGACTCTGACCGAATACCATTTTTGATCGATTCAGGTCTGGTTACGCTTTACGGGGTCTCAGTAACTGTTAGACTAACTTCTTACTTTGGGGGTAAGATTAATCTGTCTCTAGAAGCGATCATCTTATTTGGAACTTCGGCATGATGAGATACAAGTGTTTGGGTCACAATCGAGACGCTCCGGTTCAGCAAAAGGCTTACTGGACGTCTTAGCAAACGACAGATTTTTATCGGTTTGTGACCAGCCTGGAATACTTAGCTCACATTTGCGTTGTTCTTTCTTGATTGTATGGGTAACTTGGCTTCTGGCCGAAGTGGTTAGAGCACAATTTACTGACCGGAAGGTCCGTGGTTCCAATCCGACCTCCGCCACTCGACTTCTCCCCTGTCCAGGCTTGGGCAACCTGGCAGTATCCCAGCCCTCGTGCTTCCTCCGGGTGGCATAGCAGCTAGGCACCGGAAGGATGCTACAGCTGAACGCTTCCTTCCTTCCTTCCGTCTTTAACGTCGAAGAGATAAGGCACGATGTTCCTCCTTGCGTTCACTATGCACAAAAGAGTGCTTTTGAGACCTTTCGGAGGGAACTTACACTGAATGGCAACAAAGCCCAAACCGAACCAACGATTTCGCTGTTGGGTCCATATCTCTACCTCTACAAGGCCACATTTTGCTTGAATATGGCCGTTTCTTCGAATAAACGAGCTGTTTTGATGCATGTCGTAGTCGGACACTCCTGGAATTTCGCAAAATCTCTGCTATTTGTGTAGCGATTTTGAAGTTTCAAGCAAGTAAGTATTTCAGAAAGAATTCACAATATACTCAAACCTTCCATTTAAGAAGGTGCCATCCGAGAAGCCAGTCAGCACGTGTCCATTGAATGATGTTTGGCTCTATTTCTGCCTTTATGCGAGTTGATCACATTGCCGATCAGTCACACTTGGTCGGGCGATCTTGCTGGAAGGTTGCGGGTGAGATGCGCACTGCTGATGATTTCAACAAGTCACTGTGTAGTGCAACACAAATTAATTACAAGACAAGATCTGGTCGTCTAACTGTCTGTTGCAAAACTCAAGCTGATTCAGTCTGAGGTTGACCTTCGGCATGTTCCATTTTTCATCTGGAACTTTGCTACTTCAAGTGTTAGTTTGTGTATCCAAATGTGCCCTAAGCAGACAAGCTATTGCTACCTTGTGAACAAGGTATTTTGGATCTTCGCTTCACCAAACAATTCTCGAGCAGAAATTCTTGAGGCCGCGTTTAGTTGTGCGCTAACCGTATCAAGTTCTCAGTAAGCAATTAAGTATGAATCTTCACAAGATGCAACACCTTGGAAAGAAAAGCCTGTCACTTATTACCCTAGGTCGTTCGAAGATTCCGGCACTCATTTTTCGTCCGAAATCCAAAAAATCTCTTCTTTATGGTACGATTGAAGAAACCCGTCGAGCAATTTGACCTGTCGTTCCCATTCACACGCTATTATATTGAATCTGATGCCGATATTTACTTCATACCCAGAATTGAATGCATCGACGTGTCATTCACATCTGTTCCAATAACTTGAAGATTCCTATTCAATCACTCAGTGAACACAATACAGCGATGCGGTGATCAGCTTCCTCAGCAATCTGTTGGGTATAGACTTGTGCAACACGGGTGTATCCATAAACACACTAATTATGTGATTTTCCGGATTGCACTTCAGCTAAAAAGATTCCACACGCGAACGATGAGATGCCGGTGACGACCCACTGGTTTTGTTGAGTAACTGTGACATTACTTCCATTATTGACCAGAGTTCTTCAAAGCTGTTATTGTGCCGGATTTTAAGTGGTATGCCGAACAGCCAGATAATTTTTAATAATTTCCCAAGATTCAGTTTCATTGGTTCCAAACCACCTACACCAGCCAGTTGACACTCGCATACAACAGACCACAAATTAATGCCGATTGATCTGTACTGTCAACCGGAGGCATTGTTTGTAAGCTGGGCTTATTTATTGTCAGTCTGCGGAAGGTTTTGTACCACTACATCAGAACTGCTAACCCGAAGCGAGGGGTGCAGCACGGTGATTCAATGCACCATATGGACAGGGTTTTTCTCTTTCAATGTTTTGTGGTACAAGTTAATCTGATGATGTCAACTTTATGTAACCCGAGTTTCAAGCTTTTAACGCTCTGGCTTCGACGAAATTTGTAACTGCTTGGACAGCCATTTGCGGGATGACATACATCTCCACGGCTAAGGATTGCCTGCTGAGGGACGAATGACAAACCGAAATAAGATTGATAGAAATATGTAGTGAAATTCTCCAGCAGAGTCCGGATTTTCAAAAAAAGGGGGGGGGGGAATTCGTTCAGATTGTGTTACAAATAACACCAGGTCGAGTAGATCGAAAATATGGTCTCAATTCACCGGGTGTTGTCGTTCAGGGTTGTTTTTTTTAACTGAAGTTGCCTCATTATGGATCCCCCCGGGGGGCTGTATGCCATAATTTACACGTTATGAGGCACGCCGTCAACTGTTCAAGCTGTGTATAACTCAAGCCACCAACATCAGTACACTTATCTTTCTCCGTAAGGCTTCTGATAAGACCTTTTTTGGTTTAAAAATAAAGTTTAACTTCTAACACGGTCCTACTTTTTTTCACTAAACGTACTCTTTTTCATCCCTTTGTGGCCATTACGGGTAACGGAGTGTTATTTGACCTCTTCTAGACCTCTTCTCTTCTGACCGTTCTCTCTTCAGACATCTCTATGTCCACGAAGATACTGTACTAGTCTTTTCTAGGCACTCTGTTAGGCTCTTAGGCACTAAGCCTTCCTTTCTAGCCAAAATCGACAGTTCAGTGAATGTAACACAGTGGAGTAATCTGTATCGGTAGAAAATCTCAGGACTCGTGTTGCTGAAATCTTGATACACTCGTGCATTACAACACTCCTCTATTCAGCAGCGGTGTGTTTGCAGAAAATGTGTCAAAGTAAGGCTAACTTTGATTGCAACAGGTAGTTCAGTGTTGATGGCCCAGAGCCACTGACATTTGAGCCTTTTACTTTCTTATTGCTCCTCTTTGGATTTGGGCAGCATCTGCTTGCATGACTCTTTTTTGTTTTCGTGTGAACTACAAACCGAAGAGATATCACAAGTGAAAGCTTTTTAAAACAGAAGCCCTTTCGACCGATCAAAGGTGATATGGCACGCATTATCTTGTGTTGATTGGCATGTAAGGTACCCAATATGATTATTGTTTTGACCAATGGCGTGCCTACTACGTGACAACCTGATTCCGTTCTTCTGGAATTAGACACGTAGCACGAGCTATTCCATTAGGAAAAACAAGTTGCGCTCACCTTGGAAACTCCCTTGTCCTGTCTCTTGCAATGTAGATAATCTAGAGAATTACCGGCTTCGCTTTCACCTGGGTAGCACTTTCTCTTGAGCTGGAGACGTCACTGTCTTTCATTGGATCGACCGGCCTGGGAACAGTATAACGCAGGTCTCATCACAGTCACGCCTTCCCATTCTCATACGAATGTACACGAAGGTCCAAACGGGCCTGCTAGTGAAATATTGGCCACCGTTTGGAATTCGTACACTTTCTTATTCGGATGGGTCACCCTGATTTTATAACGTGGGAAAACTGCCTATCAGTCTGACGTTGCGCTACCGCCATAGCAACGGATTATTGACGCTCACAGTAGTTTCGCCTTCCCCTTTATACTTCATCGTTGGGTGTGGACGAGCAATTTTAACTCGTTCGTCGGACAATACTAAGCTCTGGAGTTCCAAACCTGACGCTATTGACTGGAATTGTAGCATTTTAGGCGGTGGTCGGATGCCATGCAGGACCGATTGGGAATGGTCCGATGCTCTACAGAAATTGTAAAATTCCCCTGAAAGTGCTAAACTAGCGTACTGGATTACAGTGTGTAAAGAGAATCTACGGTGGAAACCACTCTCTGCGGAGGGATAGCAGCACGCTAGTGGCTACCAGGGATTCCATCGACTTTCCAATTCCGGCATTTTCAGAGTGCATGTTAGCTCAAAAGTAAACAATCGCCTTATAGAATCCCTGTTGGGTCATCTTTTGATGCGACGTTCTTTGGCAGCCCCGATATACCTTAATGACGTTCTCACCTACGTGTTGACAGCAAGACTAAAAGGTTTTTGGGCAAAAATGCGTATAGGTTCGAATGTATGGGAATTGTCGTTAGGCTAGCATAGCAAAATTTAGTGACCTTACTATTCTCTATGCGTGGTTGAGATCTCCGGATGACCAAGCTTAACTGTAAATAGACATACGAACAAACCGCCTAAAGGTGACATAAAATTCTCAATATTGACTGACGGCCAACTATATGTGTGATATACTCACCTACTTTCGGGCGGTTGAAAAGAAGTCGTTCGCTTTAGTGTCGCCTGTGACGTAGGAGTCGTTTAATATCGACTACATCGTTACAGCGGTTAGCTTTGTTTCTCAAAACTGCTGAATATCGTTCGAGACAGAATTACCTTTTTGGTTGATGGCGTCTGATTTATTGGGCAAATTATTTAAGTAATCAATGAAACCTGCATTGTAACAAGTTTCACACTAGCAAGATAGAGTCTATCTCTTTTGTAGCTTTAGAAGCAGGTTTTTCAATTCTCACCCCGAATAACAGTTGCTGGATGCAGGGCTCAGGTAAAAAGAAGTCAACTGCTTTTTGGAAACGTCTGGGAAAAATAGGTGGATTTTTTTACTTCTCTGTCGGTACAAGGCGTTTTCCAACTGATTGATTTCGCAACAACTGTAGCATAGACCATTGCACGAGATAGTGAGATGACACAGCACTCATACATCAGGGCGGCGGGCCGTTGTAGTTTGGGTGGACGTACTAGGTAGGCTAAAGGTTTCTGTGGATTCTTTATCCTGGATGCTTTTTTCCGGTTACACTCTCGTCGGAGCTGTGTGATACGAGTTCATTTAACATAATACTAATCATCTCGGGATTTGGTGAAGGATGTCACGGCGACACAGCAGTCAATTCTTGTCACTGATTATCCATTTTATACCCCATGTTTGCGTCTGACGTGCACTTACTCGTTTGTAAACACCGTGCATTTGTATAATTTCCCCATGAAGTTTATTATAAACTCACCTAAGGGCGTATCTTGTGTCTGGTAGCAGTCGAAGTGACGGTGAAACGTGGTACACACAGCCGATAGTAGAAATTTGGATATCCCTAAATTTCTCTTATTCTTCTGTATATACAGCATCACTTCACATCAGAATAGTTGAAGATGACATGTGATTTATGGACGATAATGCAGAGAATGGATGAATCGTTGTCATCGACATCTTCGTCGACACCATGACATCAGTGCTCAAACATTGATGCTTCACCGCCGTACAGCGATGAGTTATTTGAAAGTCTTATCATGAGGAGAATAAAAGTGGATGGGTAAGGTACTTAATGCTAGCCTAAGGCAGTCATTCCGTAGTGCCTACACCTCCAGACATTCGGGCAAGGGCGACAAGGGCTCACGCTAACATCGATTAACAACCATATCCTGCGACCTCTTCAACCGTGCACAGGGGCGGATCGCGCGTGCCACCGCGGATGGGTTGTCCAGCACCATGCGACACAATATAGCTCCAGTACTCATACTTCATTGTATTGAGCTTGAATCGTTCTCTCCACCGTGTTCAGTCCATGTGTAGGTAACCGGTTCAAGTTACCGTATTGCATGTGGAAGTGTTTAATTTATTCCCGTTGTATTTAGTGCTAAGGGCTGTGCCTATAAACCCCATCCACTTTTCTCCATTTTATCGAAACCCGTGACCATTAAGCCTTCTGTTTCTTTCTTCCCAGTGACTGAACGACTGGAGGGTATTGTCGACTGCCGAGATTTCTCCGTATCTCCAAATTTCGATCCGTAAGTCCTCCGTTATGGCCCTCTCAACCCCGCAATCTTGTTTTTCAGCCCCTTTACAGACAAACACACGCAACAAGGTTCTTTTGTTCACCTGGTAGGTCACATTTTTTTGGATTCCAAGTCTTCTTTCTCTAGTTCCTTATTGTTGTTACTCGTACAGTGTGTTGAATGGTTTTCAGAGTTGTCTGATTCATACTCCACGTAGAAATACTAATACTAATCATTGAGGGAGGATGTTAGTAACCCAATTGGTGTTCATGGTTGTTGGTCACTTGGTTGAGCTGAACAGTTGAGTTGCCAAGGTCACTTCAGGTGAGCAAGTTTGCACACGTACAACACACACACGCAGTCAATATCGTCTCGCCTGGTGATGTGACGTTTGCAACGGAATGGCTCAACTCAACTGTCCGTCTTGCATTCCTCACGTGGCCTCTAGGTTTGGTCAATTTTGTTCGTGTACTCATTGTCGCGATGTAACGGGAGCGCGCGATCGATTTCGATTGTTTTTTTCATCTTTTACTGTAATCCGGCTAATGGGTTTTCGGCAGAATTTATCTCGATCAGCTCAACTTTGCTCAGCAGCTGTCTTTTAACAAGACGCTAGGCAATGTCGATTCACGATCACGCATGGAATTTCGATACATTGCAAAATGAGTTTTTGGCGGGTTGAGTATTTCATTATTCTATCCTAGATTACGTTGTCCGTTATCTTGCCTCTAAGAGTATCGTATCCGACTCCACCACAACGTTTTCATGTCTCAAAGCAGTCCTCCACTTCTGTTTGCGCATTTCCTTCTGTCCTAAAAACACTTTGTTTTCTGCTAGATGACTCATTCACACTAACTTGGTTCTTGGTTCTTGAATACTGATACGAATGAAAGGAAGAGAGGTGCATTCGAAGCTCTAACTTAAACTAAGCTAGGTTGCCAATTAGTGATTGGTTCAATGATTTGCTGTTTGGACGAGATTCGGGCACTACACACATCTGTTGATCTACGAACAAGGCAGAACTGCCATTGATGCACTTTTATCAGTCTTCTCACGCCTTTGTTCCATTCCAGCCATAGCTGTGAAGTTCTCAGAATCCAACTGCATACGAAACTGTGTCGATTGTCCGTTCGTGTGAACCGTAGGTGGGACGAACTACATTTAAGGCATCCACCGAGTAATACCTACCGTCATGTGGCCGCAAGCTTATCAGAGTTTGGAGGCACAGTTACACAGACGGCTGAACGCCTCAGTAACCTCAGCGATTACCCTTTGTGATCAGTCTTATCAGTTAAGATCCAGATGTACGTAACCATCACCCATAACTTAACCCTAATGATATTGTATCCTCCTCAAGTCAAGTGATGCATCCGGGTGCGACTGGAAGTCTGACAGCCTAATTCCGTCTGTCATTTCTGGTGTGCCTTTTTCCTTCACTGCACAGACAGCCAATGCGTTTCAAACGTTTACATCGTACGACGACCTGTCATAGGTAGCGCTGCAGTTGTCGGCTGTTTATCCTCTTAACTGACTCGCGTCGCGTTCACTTATACGCAGGTGCGATGGCTGCATCTTCGACTTGGCACTGTCCGTATACTTCACAAATGCTCCGAATTGGTAATGGGTTCAGTGAACCTGGGAGACCAGCTGTGTTCATCTGGTTTGCCGGATTCACCCATCGGATTGGATGAACGCTCGACAAAAGCTTGTGAACAGTTGGATCGGTTTCTAAATACGGACCTGAAAAAGCTGTTGGTCGAAACTCCTTGTCTGTACGGCAACATGGCGGACTGGACTCTTGAGAAGTTGGTATGTGACGGTTGGTTTGTCTTTCAGTGGACTCATATTTTTACCTCCAACTTTTTCCCCCATCTGAGTAAGTTCAGCCTGAATACATGAACCGTAACGTCGTAGCCCTCTTGTTAAGGACTACTTTGTATGGATTATTCGGGCTTCGCTTCGGAGCATGACGTCTTTGCCTGAAGATGAACAAAACTTACGTCCCTTACAAAATGCAATTTTAAATTATTCAGTTTATTTGCTAGGAAATAACTTAACTCTAATTCCATTTCTTCTGTGCTCGGTGATGGCTCTTCAGATGGTGCACAAAAGAACCCTGACCTTCATCAGACTTTCCCCCTCGCGATCTCAGGCTGTAGACAGTCAAGAGGTTTTCTATGTAGAATTTTCTCAGGCCAGCCTCAAAACAAAGCAGAAGTAGCTTGCTACCAGCTCGACAACATGATCTCGAATTTAATTCACATGGGTTTCTGAATTCCAACTGTTTGTGTTGACTAGTGTCTCTACCTCAGTTTGCTTATTTGTGCAGAATCGCTTGGCCTTGTTGGGGGATGCGCAGAAAAATCTTTTAGGGCTATCTTCTTTTGTCGTTGTTCAGTTGAAAGTGAAGCAATTGCGTGGCCGCGTTATCCTGTCGGTCAAAGCTATTTACTCAAAGATCACCTTAAACAAAGAAAAGTGCGGTTGGGCTAGTAAGAATCCATGATGCCATATCACAGCGACACCTGTGAAGCCACCCAATTAAGCTACATTAGTCAAACTAAACCGGTGCCCAATCTTGTTGAGCATTCAAGGGACAATAGGTGTTTAAACTTTCCATGAGTTAGCAGTATATTCTGTGCGTGGCCGTCCAACCGTTGTTGCCCCAGCCAAGCTTCCGCGCCCGATGCATTTACAAAAACCAGCTGTTTTCATGAACACATCCGCGGTCTTTGAGGCCATCTCAACAAGTATTGCGTGCCCCTTTTTTTACAAACAGATCGAGAGCCTTGTACTCCCACCGGAGCATTTGTTCACTGCTCCACCAAGGCTACCCACCACTCAAATGGCTACACTTTATTTACACGGTCCGTTTGGCCAGGTGCTCGATGCGGGTGTCCGTCTTGTACTCGGACTCTATCGGTTACTATCTCAAGGAGAAGGTCAGTTGCAATATTTTTAACGCCCGTTCTCGATCGTTTATAATATCCTATTTTACCCACACTCATCGCTATTTGTGGTAAAGGCGAACGAGTTTATTGTTTTAATGTGTATTGGTGACTGATTGTGAGGACTTTTCGCTCATAGGTCAAGCTTAATGTACCACCGGGTTCATCAGGTTTCGACGTTCTTGTTACAGACAGAAGCGACACAAAGAGTGAGTGCAGCAGTTCAGACGCATTCGACCCGAACAAGGCTCGATGGGCGTGCGGAGAATTATTCAAAGCTAGCGTCTTATGATAGTAGGCATTGAGCCGCATGTGGTAAGGCTCCCTGATGCCAGGACGAAAAATGTCCACGAAATATAGATCTTAGCAACTAACGGCGCTGCTTACTTCATTGCACTTGTACAACAATAGAGTGGACTGAACGTTCGAACGGGTTTGCAAAACGGCCCACAAAGAACACTTAAACGCACACAGGAACAATTCAATAGGGCATTGGATACGATGAATTCCAATAGGTCTGTAGTTTCGAAAACTCCAAAATGCTTATAGCTCGAAAAATCAACGTACATGTAACGTTTGTCCCATCAACTATCAACATTTAAGCACCTATAACTTCGGATTAATAGATCTTGTTAGCGTCAGTTGATGAGGGTTAGAGAGCGAATTTACCGACCACAAGGTCCGTGGTTCGAACTCGACCTCCACATCTCCACTTCCCCTGTCTAGGCTTGTGCAACCTGGCAGTATTCTAGCCCTTATGCTTTCTTCGGGTGGCATGGCAGTTAGGCACCGAAATGGTGCTACGGCTGAACGGCTTTTTGAGGGTGTTGAAAGTGGGCCGGAGAAGCATCTTAAAACAGCTGATAGCAGCGCTGTCTGTATATTTTCAACCAAAAATAAGGGGGCGACGCTTATGTTTGATATAAATATAGAATATAGGGACAGAATAACTCCTTGAGAAGCGCAGGAATTGATGGATGGTGCTGAATAGTTGTAAGAGGTAAGTTGTGTCCGTTCAGTGAAGTAATCCAGCAAATCATTATCGAACAAGGTCATAACCAGAGGAGACTTTCCACGAAAAACCTCTACCAAGCTTTTTGGGGGTAGTAGCTTAAACTACTATTCTATTTCTATCCAGGTCTGAGGTGACTAAATGCACAAAAAATGTCAGGGCGTCGATGGTGTGAGTTTACAAGTAAACTGAAAATTTACGTTCGAATCCAGCCTTATTTGCGTTTTCCTCAACAGGATTCTTTTGGTGGATTTAATTAGTGAGAAAGCGATAGCGCAAATGTTTGGGTGACCTTTCAGGAAAAGGGGTGTATGAATAAACTTTCAGAAACTAGGCATTGGATCTTCGGAAATGCGTACATTGAACAAATCAGTGGGAGAAAACTGGGCAGTGTGTGTTTTCAAAACGATTGAATTCGATGCATCACATTCACGATTTGCGTAAACTCCAGGCCAAACGGACATAAAAAGAGCTTCAAAAAGAGGCGTAGTAATTGAACTGGAGGACTCCCTGATGTTCCCCCCCCACGCTGAGTCTGCTGCCATAGAGTTCGCTCAGGATGCGCCACATCTAATGACAACTTTTGTTTCCAAACTTAGTTTCTGACGGCACAAATGTGCTATCGTAAGTTTTGTAGGTGGTAATGAACTTTTAGAACAGACCTACTGTCAAGCTTTTTTTTTACAAATTTGCTTTAGTTTGACGAGGAGAATCCGTTGGCATCGACCGGAATAAACCCCACTGAACAGTACATATCCAAGCAGAAGTTCGATAGCCTGTCATCCTATTTCGATGATGGTGATGCAAACGATGATATGCTCCCAATACAATGAGAGGTGTGAGTGTACAAGCAAGGTGAAGTTAGCAGAATTAATCATGTCTCTAAACTCTTCCACATGAGCGGTCTCTTCTTCGGAAGTACCTTCGAATGACAGTACACATAGGTCATGCCGGCAGATGAGTATGGAACAGCGGCAAAACATCGGGCTATTTCAGAACTCAGCCATCACACAGATAATGCCAAACGGAGTATTTCGTCAGTTATATGGATTCACTTTTACATAGTTGAAAGATAACACGAGCATTGGATGTTTCTACCTTAACAGTCATCCATTTGGTTTGTCGTAGGATACTCTGAGTTCATGTCACTGCGTCTAATTTTCTGTTAATCCGCATTCCCTTTCGCCTTTGTTTCAGAGTACTTTCCCGCAGAGCAAGAGAGGGAACTTTTGTGCCTTATCAAAGGCGACAGTTCAGACCTATCAGCACAAGAGACACCCTCTGGGTTCCTTCATTCTGTCCTGAAGGATGTATCCTCCCTTGAAAATATTGGAAAGGCATATCTCTTTACTGAGAATGCTTGTCATCCTGCTGGGGTTATCCTGCTTCTGGGTGCACTGTTCGAAACACTTGCGTTGCAGTGCCTTTTTCTGTCAATGATTCGGAGTATTCTTCTTCCTAGAAGGTGAGACAACCTTTCTATTCAATCGTTTTCCTCTGTCGCATCACCGGACTGTTACGTGTCAACTTGTTTTAGCTGCACCCAACCGTTGTCTTTCCAGGTGAAACTCAGTGCGATCAGATAAGTGGCTTTGTTATTGAGTTATTCAGTTCTTAATCTCAAAACTTAATGTCGACCACTGGTGTATTCGGTCACGGTGCATTTTTTTGACCCACGTAGCGACTGACCCATCGTTACCCGACTGATTCCTCACTTTGGGAGCCAATTCCTTTTCTTGGTGTGGACAACTCCTCCACCTAAGCTCTACTCAGCTCCTGCAAAGTGCCATTTCGATGAAGGCTGCATTTCCCGAAAACCGTTTAGTTAAAGCTGTCATTTCGTTAGGGTAGACGCAATATACTCATTGGTGGTGTTTTGTTGTCTTGTGTAAGATAATTTCGCAAGTCACAGTACTGGTAAACTGAAGGAGTATCCGTATACTGCTATCTAACAGCATTTTTTCGGACTAGTGGAATGGTTCTTATAGCTGATGATGATATTCCACCGGCATTCCGGTTTGCGTCACATCGTGAACTATGCTGCCAGTTCCTCTGATCACTTTCGTTTGACTCTTGTACTTTCGCCGGAGTCCTTTAAGCTGGATAGGTATTAGAAATTGGATACCCAGTTGACAAGATACCTTTGAGGTGTAATCACTGGTGTTGGATTGCCTATTTTTGTGGGGCTCACCGAGATTCGTGGGTGTTTGTTGTATGACAGAACTATACGGGTAGACATGTTCGAAAGGAATTACCTCATAACCACTCGGTATTTGTTTTCAGGGGTCATGTAAACTAGCCTGTGGGTGCAAAATGTGAGTTCTTACGTGGATGATCTCTATAAGATTGTGTATCCCCAGCGACGAGCCTCTTTGAACGCTCAAAAAAGGCTGTGCATTCCCCCGCGAACCGAGTGTTTCCTTTGTTGGCTTGTTCTATATCCCAACGGATGTATTCCAATCCATAGTGATGGGGGAAACTAGTTGATATAGGAAAGCGCTCCCAATGAGTGGCTAGCATTTATCCGAGGAACTGCGTTCTACTATCTCACTTACTTTACTCACTGACTGAGTAAGAAAAGACATGTAACCTTGTGGTTTTAGAGATGCGATGTTGACGGCTTGCAGCGGTAGTGAGTGCGCCTAAAGGTGTAAAACAAAGCACTATGTAGTACACGATTCTTTTGTAAATTGTGTTGACTGTCATCAACACTCAATGCACTCCTTTCAAGTCTTTTACAGTGTGACAGCTTGTTGCAACTCCTCAAATGACACGTCGCACCGATTATTGCATTAACCCTTTGAAGGAAGCTATCTCACAGAAAGGGGTTATTCAGGTTTTTTTTCGAGGGAACATCCGCTGAGTCTTTATGGACGAGGAATGCTGCTATTGACTGTTGGGTGGCTGTGCCTGTTGGAGATCACTGCAACCGATTTTCACTCATGTTTTTTATCTTATAAACTTCAGTCACTTTCACCTGCGGTCCGGGAAACAGCAACGTCGTAAGGCAAACAAAGCACAAAGGGGGAAACATACGGGAGGTGCCGATCGGCGAAATCATGTAGATGCGTCAGGCCCCTTAGAGAAGCGGTTGGACATCCTTGGTTCGCGTGTCTTTGCTGCTGTCAGTGATATCTCTGTGACGACTCAAAAATTAGCTTCTGTGACTGAAGCCTGGACACAGTGGGCCAAAACGCATGCTTGTGAGGAGTTCCATCAGTTGGCATCACAATTTAGCCACCACTTGCTATCAGAGGAGATGGTGGAAAAAGTGAGTAGTTGACCCTTATTTTCCGGCTTTGAAAAGGTTAAACACTGTCAGGTGACGGGCACTCTTTGTTTTGACGGTTATCTATATGTGCTACCTGTTTTTTAGACAGGTTCACTGTTGTGCTACTTACGGGTTTGAACGCACCACAAGAAAGGTATCTGTATCCAGGTTACCAGTTCTTTGAACTTATTGCCCTAATGATTTCAGTGGTACCTTTCATCGAAATTCATCTTCCGTTTACCTCCTCAGTGCGGGCTGTCTCAGTGGTTAGAGTACGAATTTACTGACCGGAAGTTCCGTAGTTCGAATCCGACTTCTGCCACTTGCTTTCCCTGTCCAGGCTTGGGTAACCTGGCACTATCCCAGCCCTCGTGCCTCTCTCTGGTGGTATGGCAGTTAGGCTCCGAAAGGGTGCTACAGCTAAGCGATTCTTTTATCTCCTCGGTACCTTCACCCCTTTATATCCGAGTTTGTGCTCTGTTCGAAAAGCGACTACTCAATTGGTTGCGTACTTGCGTGGTTCGTGAGACGCGTATGAATATACATATTTCTGTAGGAAAATCTCTACACTAGAAGCCGAGGTTTCCCAAAGATTCACTGCTTCCATTCTGATACAATGAGCCCACTGGGTGACACAGAAGTCCTATTTCCCACTGGGCTTACTTACCAGAAGGTCTCTGGCTCGAACCTTACCTCCGCATTTTGACCGCTCCTGTCTATGTTTGAGCATCCTGGCAGTATATCATCCCTCGTGCTTTTATCGGGTAACATGGCTGCTAGGCACCGAAATGGTGCTACAGCTGGACTATTTATCCCATTTCTATTATTCCTCAGTTTGGAGTATTGGGACATGTGTGGCGACTTATTCCTGAGAATTGCAGACACCAACTAGCACTGCCTTGTGATTAGGCTTGTGAGCCAAAAGCTTTGGTCATGGACCTAAATCCTCCTTCCTAGTTGTGAATGCCATAGCAGTACCACAGCTCAAGTATGACTATGAATCAGATAACTACAAATGACTTCGTGTCACATCAGCCGGTCGGATAAGCTAAAATAGAATGCGGCTGGCACATTTCTTCTCCCCCACGACACCCCTTGGCTGGCGGCATCTTCTTGGACCCCGTTCTCTAGGGACAAGCGGCTCCATCATCAGTGTTGGTTTGAATATCTACGCTTAACTCGTTCGTCACGGCCGTAGACGCTTCGAACTCATTCTTTAAACCTTGACCCATACTTTCTCTGATTCTGTTTAACGTTCGAACTTCGAAACCAGCTGGACAGCAGACTAATCATGCATTGGGCTCACCTTTTTGTTAATGTGTGCTGCCCGTCTGAAACGAGAATTCTTTGGTTGGTAATTCGTCTTGATAAGGTTTACAGGCTCCAGGGGGGCACTACCAGCTAAGAGAGTTGTCCACACTTACTCACAACTGATCGAGTCAAACAGGCCTGAAGTATACAAAACATCCTGTGGTAGGCCACATGAATGTGAAACGACGTCATAATGTTCGTTTGGTCTATACAGGACCCCCCCCCTAGGACACCATCTCCTTGATTTGGCCCTGTGAGTATGTCTCTGAAACGTGGGGTGCAAAAAACAAACAGTTCCACTGCTGTTTCCACTAATGAAGTAGGCCATGTTGAAACCGGTGAAGGTTGTTAAATACCTGAGAGGAGTTCATGCAAATCCGTTAGATTTGATCGTCTTCCTATTAAAAATAAGTAGTGTCCTTAGGTGCTGCGGAAGTCAGTTGTGTTGAGAATCGAAGGCCGAACTTTGATGAATTGGGCTTATGAGAGTTGTGCAAAAAACATTCAGTTTCCCATCAATTTTCGGTGATGGTTATGAGTAGGTCACCTGCGCTTTATTTATCCTACACCCATGGTGCCTGCGCCGTTTGCCTTATCATTTTTTCGACTCATTCGTCCGGATGGCGAAAGACGTATAAAGCAGATATTATTCACCAACACTATTCACAAGGTCAGTGAGAACTCTGGACAGCTCGCTACTGGCTTCGGATTCCTTCGGGCTTGCTAGGTAAGCGAAGAATGTCGTAAGCAAGAGATCCACTTGAATCTCATTTGAGACTCCCGTTAAAAATAACTTGACTAAATAATTAGCTCCCCACGGATGTACAGTTTGGTGCTCAAGTACAGATTGAGTTGGTGGGGCTAGATAGACCTGATGAGGTTAAGCTGAACCAGAGTTGGTTGCCAATAGTTTCTATCAATCTTATGAGTAACTTCGAAAGCAACTTAAGATATTTTGAGCATCGTTTTGACTAAAAAATGAGTAGTCTTTTTGCGACACATCCAAATTACCATAAACGTGGGATTCAAGTGAATTCCATTGCTATTTGTGCAACCCTGTAGGAGAAATCCTGATGGAAAAGTTGGATTGTGGTTTGTCCCCTTGGGTCATGTTTTCTTTGCACTATATTATATATATTACATATTCTACCTTACCAGAATAATGCGAAGCAGGACATAGTATCACGCTTCTCTCTCCGATTTTCTAGTATCCGGTGTTGGTTCCCGACTCCCGGACTTCTTTGTTCAAAGAGATCGCAAAGAGTCATGAGAAAACCTTTGATCGTCTTCTCACTGGGTTTCGCATGAAGCAAGCAGGTCTCACGCGGTTGCAGAATGAACTCCTCATCTACGAACAATGTGTAAAAAAGATGTCAGAATGTCTGTTGGACGAATCCGCTTCTTGAAACTCCTATCCAACCACCATCTACGATCTCCTCGCGTTGTCGCTCAACTATCGCCCTGGGGGTTGGAATTCACTCCAGCAAATACAAAACTCCCTGGAGTTCCAGAATATCCCTGCCTATTTTATGCTTCATGTTACATGGAGTAATCAATCCTGAATCACTAGTTATCTTCTGAGCTGAAGTTGCCTTTTTTGTTTTCTGTCCAGTTGTGTGTTTGTGTGCTGCACGCTGATCCTGCACAAGGGGATGACTCAAGGTGTTTGAAAGTTGATGCGATATGGCTGGCTTTGGATCCAGTCATTGAGTTATTTTTAATGAGGACGCAAGCTTTAGCCTAAAAACGTGCTTTAAGTGTATACGTATGGCCGAATATCGCTTTGTCATATATCAAAGTGTGGCCTGCGAATAGCACGAGCTGCCAACTGACCCTTATGCAAGGTAGGATTTAAGCGTTCACTTGCCCTACTAGATAAGACTAATGGTTTTAGGACTCCTCGTTATAGTTCGCCTCAGTTGCACGGCGTTTAGATAATTCTATAAACAACCTGTGCTCATTGGGTCTTTTCCAGAGGGATGTCAGAATGGTTCGATGCGACAGGTGAATTCAGAGAGGGCATCCATTCTACTGCAATAATATCAGACCTTCGTGCTTCGAACGTTCACTGGCCTTGACTGACAAAAGGCAAGGTGGTCGTTTGTCGTAGAAGCTTGTTCCTGCAACCTTATCCTGTCCCAAAATTGTCGTATATAACTTTTGGCCGTTTGCGTATTCACACTATGATTCACGTTCAAGCGAACGCACCTTTCGTAAACGGTAGCGGAGGTGACCGAGCGCATAGATTCGCGGTGGGACGGTTTTCGCTGTTGCATCTCCGAGTTATTTGTCACTTTGTATGTCCACCAACCAGGAATCAGAGCTCCCAACTGCGGTTTCCAGATGAGGGTCATATATCATACTGCTTGTCTGTTTCACCTATGAAGCAATGCTTATACCACTGGCTCAGTTCGCGTTGGTCAGTTAAACAAGTAGATTTGAGAGAAGTCTTGCTTTGTGGTTGGGGAACCTGGCCCTTCCAATCCGAAGGAGCTGAACGTTTGCACCGTGTCCCAGAATCTCATTAGTTAGTTGGCTTCTGTCTGTTTGCAGTGAAAGATTGCGAAAAAGCGTACTTCGTAACAGAGCTAACGTAGTTTATCAGACTAAGGTGGTTGGAACATGAGCGTGCTTAACCATCGTGTCTCCGAGATTTCGATTTTTCATTCGAGACCCTCGTTGTTGAAGGTCCGTGAGGGGAAGGCGATGACGTAAAAATGCTAAATAGAGGAGGCTACAATCAAACTGAGTGTTGTGGAATCTCAACGGCTTTCTCATCGTGACCAGCCTGATTCTTTGCAGAGGGCTGAAAACTCCATTATACAGTAGGTGCAACTAAGCCTGGTGTTGAGCGTGTTAGTACTTCATAGTCGGTTTCGTATCTTTATAAGGTTGTTTTGTGCTGTATATGGCTTAAAAAAGACACTCAGTTAAACGCACTAGTGGTCTGTTACTCCGACAGGCGTCTCAGGTTAGTTTGTTTTATTGCTGTTCGCAGGTACGAACATCTTTTGATAACTTCCCTTGAGGACATAAGACCCCTGGCACCAAATTCCCTACACCCCCCCTAGACTTCATGATAGGACCTTCTCTCCTCATTGTCGTGTGACAATGATTTTTCTGTGATGATGAATAGTTTCTTATATACCGATATCCTTGCCTAACTTATCACTCGACCTGCTCCCCATTCTGGGTCCTTATTCGCTTGCCCATTCGACCGTGAGTGCGGCCTTCCGGTTGTTTTATTTCATGCTACTCATAACCTCCGGGTAGCTGGACCAATCTATGCGTGNCGACAGGCGTCTCAGGTTAGTTTGTTTTATTGCTGTTCGCAGGTACGAACATCTTTTGATAACTTCCCTTGAGGACATAAGACCCCTGGCACCAAATTCCCTACACTCCCTCTAGACTTCATGATAGGACCTTCTCTCCTCATTGTCGTGTGACAATGATTTTTCTGTGATGATGAATAGTTTCTTATATACCGATATCCTTGCCTAACTTATCACTCGACCTGCTCCCCATTCTGGGTCCTTATTCGCTTGCCCATTCGACCGTGAGTGCGGCCTTCCGGTTGTTTTATTTCATGCTACTCATAACCTCCGGGTAGCTGGACCAATCTATGCGTGGTTGACGCTGACTGAGTGAATCGGTTTGGTGAAACTCAATGAACCTAACATACGAACAGTTCTGGAACTGTTGACGCAGTTATCGGAGTTGGGATGCTTATCATCTGATGTTTTACCTGCTCAAGACAGGCGCTTTTTCTAGGCTTTTTGTGGCTGGCGACCGCCACTGCATCCATTAGCCAATATATTCCTTGCTCCGTCAGTGAAATAAATGCTTGGTTTGTGTGTGCGTACATTCAATTCGGATTGAGTATTTCGTCCGATATCACACGGCTTCAGGAAGCATAATATGGCCTCCTATCCTTTCAGCCTTAATCGCATCCAAACTGAAATGGATTCTCCATCCACATCCACAACAACACACCGAAAACCCACGGGAGATCATCAGAGTTCGGAGACATCGGCCCAACCAGATTCAACCGAAGGGGCTTCGCAACCTTCCAGCACAAGCGGCACTTTCGAATGTCACATTTGTCTAGACTCTGCTCGGGATGCGGTAGTGAGCATGTGCGGTCATCTGTTCTGTTGGCCTTGTTTGTACCAGTGGCTAGAGACCAGCAAATCCTGTCCAGTGTGTAAATCGGCTGTCAGTCAGGACCGGGTTAGTATTCCGTGCAATATTGTTTTATATTACTATTGGTCACTCCCATTCCTAATTCGTGGAATTTTCTTGTCATACGATCGTTAGTAGGCAGACCATGCTTGGCATTAAGACGTTTGAACCCAGTAACTTTGACGCTTGCTAATGAGCTGAGTGACCATCTATTCTCAACCGACTTTTATAAACTGTTCGATGTATGTTAGGGCTCCTTGTAGACCTGATTTTGTTTGTGCCTACGCACCACAGTTATGGACTCTCCTCATTATCTTGATTGTTGCGAAGCTGATATTTTGGACGACGCCCGTGTACGTTCCATCACCTTGACTCAACAGAAAGCAACAGCTTCACCTTATTGGACAACATCGATTGCGACTCCCATCTGGTTACACTGAGGGTATTGGTTCCTATTCCACTAGAGTAGAATTCATCCATTTAAGTTAAAACCACGGACAGCATTCCAGAGGTTGGCTGTTCGTGTGGACGATGTAGCATCGATTCGGATACAACGCCTCCCGAACTTGTAAAATTTCAGATCATCTTGACGGAATTTCTGGGCAGAATGATTGCAGTCTCTTTTACTTCCGGCAAAGCTATATTGAGGTCTATAAGTCGCTTTTGAAACGTGCACATATTGGAACTAAATGTGCTTCGTATTTCACTTGATCCCAACCCTATCGACTAGAGCTTAATTCTGTCTATTTGATTTTAGTTCCTCGTTCGGATTACTTTCTGCCTGCAAATTTGTTTCCTATCCTTCTTTCGAGTGTTGAGATAGTTATGAGAATCGCATCCTCACCATACTACTTCATCCCGACACCTATTGTTTTTTTAGTTTTCGCTCACCTGTAGGAGTTTTGTTAGGTTGACGTCTGTGCTACCGTGGATGGGCACGTAGTGTTTTTCCCACGTTCTTTTATCCCCCCATCACCCGATATGCTTCTGGCAACAGTTTTGCTGGAAGTTTTCCACTAAGTTAATGATTTTCGAACCTTGTTTCACTTGAACGGAGTTTGTACGAGCTTGAGGAGGATTTTCTAGTTGAATACGCATTCACACATGTCCGTCTAGTTCGGAATCTCAGTTGTATACCCGTGTTCATGAACTGAGACAGCTATCAAAATGTGACGTGAGTTTCGTACCAATGACATCTGCAAATCTGACAACATTGATTAGTTATGCTGTCCTTTATGTGTACTTTTCATTTTAAGGTTGTTCCACTCTATGGCCGCGGATCTGATCATACTCGAGATCCACGCAGCAAGATTCCACCACGTCCGGCCGGTCGCCGTGCTGAACCAGAATCCAATGCTCCNTGTACTTTTCATTTTAAGGTTGTTCCACTCTATGGCCGCGGATCTGATCATACTCGAGATCCACGCAGCAAGATTCCACCACGTCCGGCCGGTCGCCGTGCTGAACCGGAATCCAATGCTCCCGGTTTTGGTGGAGTGTTCAATAACCTATTTGGAAACACTGACGGCAATAGTAACTTCCGAATGTCAGTCGGAATCGGGGCATTCCCTTTTGGCTTCCTGGCTACTGCATTCAATTTTGGCGGAGATGCACCAACTCCCAGTAGTGTAGGACCAGGGTCGAATGATGTTCCATGGAGTGCAGATGCCGAAACAATGTCGAAGTTGTGCCTATTCGTCGCCATTTTCTTCATTGTCTGGTTACTCATTGCGTGAACGAAATTCAGTGTGATCCACCCTTACGTGTCACTCTCTCTTGTCACTTTCGGAGCCTACTTTTCTCGTTAACTTTGATCAGAGAATAGTCGTTATTTCGTTTGTGATATCCCTCTCTGTGTTCTCACCGAGCTGTGGAACTGAGCTGACCTCTCATGGTGTATTCTAACCCGTTTTCTCTCGTCGCTGTGCGAATTCATATTGGTTCTTTTCGGATCACCAGGCATTCAGATTAAGCGCTATCCGTCCAATCTTTTTTCCTAACCTCCCCACTGCATATACCTTCACTGATTTCGCACTGTCATCGCTGAGTGAGACAGTGTTCTTTGTCCGATCTCGTCTCTTTGGATAGCTTCAAACAAATACACGCGGTTCGATTGTGTTCAGTTATTTCTTGTCCTACGGCATTACACACAGATTCGCCGTCTAATTTTACTAAGCGCTACGTTCACGTGATCGCTTTCGACCCAGTCACTCGTTTATTCATTATTATTTTCATTTTTCATCCAGCGCAAGAGGTAGAGAGAGAGGTTGCGCAGCTCAACCCCGAGAATGTGAGGATGAGCGGTTCTGTACAGTACATAAAGTAACTGATTCAAGGAACTTCTGCACTTGTCTTAATGCACTTGGCCCTCCAATTTTGTTTACAGTTCCTTGAGTTACCGACATGCTCCCAAGCCTTGGGAGGCAGCGAATTCTACTTTTATCTCTTGTGACAACGTGGTAGTTTTTCACGAGACGCCGCACTCAATAACCTTGGGATGTACCTTGTAAAGGGGCCAGGTCTCATGCCTTACTGACATTTGGAGCATATGGTCACCCATCCTTCCAGTGCATTTAGTCGACATGTCTTGCCTTTCTGAAGTGTAAAATAAATATTTTGGCCTTTTTTTGTCTTATACCGGACGATCTACTGACCGACAAGTTCTCGTTTTTGGATGGTTTTTTGTCCAGGCCTAGCAGTAGCTGAGCGTCCATGCTTCCTCCACCTATACGGGGAGTGTATAGACACCGATAAACGATTGCAGATAACATAGTATTCGTAAAGGAAGTGTACAGAGTACATTAATATGGATGCTAGCAATTGAGGATATCAATGGGAACGGAAACACAAGTTCCCATTCCTCAAGTCCGCCCTGTAACCGGAGCCATCCAGTCTTATAAGCAGTTATAGTATAATCTATTCTGTTGTTCCCCTATGTTCATTTGTACACATTGATAGTTGTTCTGCTTTGCAGGTCTATGGTGTTTTTTCTGTTACAACAACAAACTTGGTTTTGCTGCTTAGCTCCGCCACAGTGATGGTCTATATCTGGTTACAATGAAGTTGGATTGGTGCTATTCGTAGCCTTTGCTTAGATAATAGTAAGGGTGGCCGAACCGCATTGTACCGGCCCCTTATTGTATGTGATCTGTTTTGACCTCATTTTAAGTGCAACTTTTCCGCTACCCCGTGGTACACTGCGCCCTGCAAGAGTGCACAATCGGAACCAGGCAAATCCGTTCGCGTATGTAAGGCGTTAGTTTCTTGGGCTGGGAACGTACGGTTCCTTATAGTTCAAGGTAAAGTGAAACCGGAACTTCGTGCTCTCTTTTTTGGAAAGCTTCCCTTATCAAAAGTTTATATATATATATATGTATATATATATATATAATATGCTGACAAAATTAGGAATTTGGATTGTTTTTGCAGCAAGGATTCTAAATTTGCTTCCAGGTTGAACTGCGCATAGAAATGGATTTCTTTTGTAATCATACGGCTTTTAAGTTTCCTATAATGATTGACTCATTAAGAGGGAAGGTATTACTCCGATTTGGTTAGATCATTGTAATGAAATCTAAGCCGTATGGCATTAGAAATACGTTTACACCATGTTGATTCCCCTTTATTATGACTTTCTGGATTTATTTTGTCCCTTTGGTTGTTCCGGAACGGTTTAGGGACAGCTTTCATATAGCTATTACCATTATCTTGAATGATCGGGACCAATAAGTCACAATGTTTTGGGCTGGTTCTTCATCTTTCTAGAGCTAGTAATCGTGTGCTTTCTCTTTCACCATTTGCGGAATTTCCCGCTTAAGTTATGTGATTTTTGGTCGATGGCAATGTGGGTGCACTTTTTCCTGACTTAATATTGCTTTTTTAGAACAGTTTACTGGTTAGTTGTTTCCAGACGTAGCAGCCCCACCCACCAGTCCTTCCAATTCCTCTAAAAAAGCCTCCCCATTTCGTTTCAGGTGCATCAACAAGCATGGTACGTGTGAAATACCGATACTTGGTTTGTTTCGTCTCCATCCAGGCGTCTATATCCCGCTGGCCCCCTGGCTATCCTGGCTGTCATCCAGACGACTCATGTGCGTTGCGTGTGAACGAAGGACACCTGCTTCACGCAATCCGGTCCTCTGTTTTGAAATGCCACGGCATTGTTGGTGTGGGTCAGTGTATGTCTCGTCTGAGATTGATACACTGGTGTTCTGCGTCTGGGCTATTGGTGCTTCGGTGTCTTCGAAGTGAAGCTACTCGTATCCAAGCTGCTCTGGCCTTGATCACCCGTCTTGAATGGGGTGAGGGTTTTGTATACACGGTGACTGTAGGGTTGTCTCCATTGGAACCGCCTTCATTTATGGACTCGAGTACACAATACTGTTGCTCTTGGTCGTCGCTTTTGAGCACAGCTAACGTATGTCTGCTGCTAGTGGGTTGAAATTCCCTGAAACAGCTGTCTATATCAAATCGGTTATTGAAACTGCCCCATAGAACGATCAGTGTAGTCACGCGAAGGAAACTTGACTAGTCCCTCGTTGAAAAAGAGGTAATTTTTCCACCAGAATCATCCCCGCGGAACGTATACCGCATGATGCTGACGTTCACCGTATGCATGAAGTCTCGGTAATTAAGGTCAAAAACAAGCATAAGTTACATTGTCGACCCCAGGGATCAAGTTGTTAATTCGTTTGCAATGGTTCCATCCTACTTTGGAACACGAAATGGCTTCATGTCTCCCGGAATCCGCGAGCACGAAGTCTCATTGGAGAAACCCTGAGGTCCCTCCTTTTAGATCCAAGGTAACTTTGATTTTTCAGTTGCGACTTCCTCCTGTGGGCGAAGCCAATCAATTCTGAAAAGCGAGAAAGCACTGTCTAACTGTTTCATCTTTACTGGGAATCATCACTGCGTGCCTGACGAAGCTCCAGGCAGTTTCGAACCGGTGAGCTCCCTTCTACTGGTTGGTAACTATTAACCTTTCGACCTCGAGCGGCTAGTTAGCATTCTCATCTTTTCGGCATGGATTGGTTTCACGTACACAGCAAGACCTCAATTGAAAATTCCCAAATCTTCTCACACTACTATGACCTATCGACTTGATTGTTATGTGCTGATAAACTGATCGCGGCCCTAATCTCAAGCTTGTTGCCAGAGCCCACATTTTTGTGAATCTTTGAATATGACTCGACAGGACTGTTGGAGATCCACAGATAGGTGGGGATGGCTAGTCTGGTTAGGATATTCTGAAGCTCTGTGTAACGCTTCAAATTTTATACCAGAATTTAAACACCCCGTTTGAGTATATCAACTTCACCTCGAGCTCCCTTTTTAGTCTGAAGAATTTCACCGAAATATTTTATGCGGAATAGCGGGATATCTTAGCATGGGAAGTGTTTTGCTATTAAATATTGATCTGTGTCCTTTCCAACACTGTCTAAGCCCTTGACCTACCTCATTCTCTCAGATGCAATGAAACTTAGCTCCACCACACATACAGTGCGACATATCTTTGTCTACAGTGATGAACTGACTCAAAGTGGCACTGAGAGAACTCTTTTTTCTGTTGGGTTTCCGATTGTAGTTCTTTGAGATGCCTTATTCTATATTCTATAAATCTCTCTGGAAGAGTTTTCGGGGAATAACTGTTCATCGCAGATGATGCTAGTCCATTTTTGGCATCCCAAATGCATAATCTTAGACACGCACGCGTGTTTTTCCAGATGAGGCATTATCTTTACTGTACACATTTAAGGATGGACCCTTTCTCTATTGTTTCCTATGCAACAACCAATAAACGTGTGCATCAAAAATGACGTTCACGGTTGGTGGGTTCACAAAAATGGAAGTTCGAGTCTGGGACGAAGTCGCGTCTGAAGCTAACAGTCCTTTTACCTAAGCAATTATTCAACCCTTTTGCTTAGTAGTATGGCGCTAAATGTCCACTTCGACCGATCCCTCTGGTGCCTGATTTGCATACCTGTTTCCTCCCCGCCTCCACTACCAGCGACATTTAGGCTCTTCTTGTCTGACTTGTCATTTTTTCCTCTTGTAGGTGATCAGCAGCGGCGCGCGCTGTTCGATGTTCACCATTCCAGTGGAACCGTTCGGGGTTGTCAAAAATTCCTCGTGCAATTTTATTCTCATCAGCTTTTTTCTCGGCCTTATGCGACAGTTCAAACAGCACTGTCTCAACTCGTTCGACAAAAAACTGTCTCTCAGTTCCCTCCGAAACTTGTTGACGAAATGTCTTGATTTCCATCGATTGTACCTTGTACATACACTATCCCATTTGAGAAAGCTGCCTTCTAATTCGTCTTTCTCGTTTTCGCCTGCTTTTTTAACTTTCATTGTAAGGCGTTGGGTCTATGCAGTCATCTCAGAACCAACTCTTGACATTCACATCATGCAGAGAATGAACGAATCCGTCTTTCCACTTTACGATTGCCTTAGGTAGGCAATAACGCCTGACCCCGAGATGAATGGCACACCATGTTTTTTCGCCCTTCCCTGATCTGAGACTCGTCCTTCTGGAGATGGAGATTGAAAGTAACTACTTGCTACCACTGAGGATTCTGTCAGGTTTCGTATTATCGGTCTTAGCTTGAAGTCAGTTTCGAGGAGAGGCAACTTTTCTCTCAGCCCATGCTTTAGTATGCATCACGAAAATATGCAGTGACTCCAAAGTACCAACAAATGAGTAACTGTCATATTCGTTAACCCTAATTACCTGGTATCCCGACCACAGTCATACAGTTACAAAGCTAGATGTGCTTGGTATTTTCTAGCTTACTTTGTATTGAGAGTGAGAAACCATAAATTTTCAGTGATCACCGCGAGTTTGGTGTTTGGATGGATTATGCACTCTTCCTCCGCGTACGGCCTGCGAACTGGTTGGGAGATACCATCCAGTTTGAGAACTGCTATCGTCAGCTTCGAACTGATCTTGAAGTTGCACTTCTTCAGAGTTGCGGTAATTGTTATGTAAATCCATAAACAGATATCTAGAATGTGTGCAAAGTTGCCATTTGTTCAACTTGTGGTTGCTGTTTTGTTTGGTTCGGTTCTCTTGTTCAAAACCACCATTCTAAGTGGTGTTCGGGCTTGAATGCTATCATGATCCCTTGGACTGAACTGGTTGAAGCTTCGTTTCTCAATGTTCAGTTATGCCATCTTATTACCATGCAGTCTTGGAATAAACTCAGGAGTATGCAAACAGAAAGGCTTTTGCAGACTATTTGTAAATGCTTCCTTACTCCTGTGACGGGGCGGTTTAAAAAGAGTTGGCTCTGAAAACTGCCTCCGCCGCTCATCCAAAGTTTGACCATGATCACCATAAAATAAATAAGTCAGTCGCCAAAACCTTTCGAAGAGCCCTGTGTACATCAGTAGGAATAATATATCTATGTTTGCGACTTCGGACTTCACAGCTGTTGCGTCTTGCAAACGTTATTGCAATTCCATGTCGGTCTTTGGCTTGCCGTTCCGCCCACTACTGTACATCAAAAAGCACGATTGCTTGTTTAATCGAAACGGTGGGAAATTGTTACAACCGTATTTCTGGGTTTGTCACGGAATTTTTACTGCGGTCAAACGGGAAGATCCGAGCCAAAAATGTTCGATTCTGATTGGCTCACACTGAGCAATCAGAACGTGCCACCTTATGGTCCGTCGTCGATATATCCGTCCAATCGAGCGCATGTTCACTTTCTCAGATCGGCTCTAGATACAAGCCCTTACTGCCAGGTAGATCGGACTAGAGCCATCAGCCCCGAGTAGGTAATGAAAACATCCTTCAGGTATCTAACTGCCATGCCACCCGAAGAAAGCATGAGGGCTGGTATACTGCTAGGTCCACAGGTCTAGACAGGAGGAGTCGAGCTACCGAGTTAGGTTCGAATCATAGACCTGCTGATCAGTAAATTCACTATTTCGAGTTCTGAATAGGTTCCTTCAAGAAAATCCTATCAGCTGCATGCTCGTGTTCCAGGACTTTAGGTCAGAAGCCTGGCTTCTCTGGACGTAGCCCTGGTCCACCAACCATCTTGTGAGTGGGTTTTGAGGTGAGGTTTTCCAACCAGATATCCTTCCTGGGACGTGTCATTGACCATCGAAGGTTCTTGGCCCACCGACCTTTTCCCCTCATCTTTCTTTGCACCGCATGTGTTTTCCATGTGCGTTAAGTGAATCAGATTAGCCTAACAGTTTCAAAGATCTAATTCTTTTTAGTTCTCTTTACTTCCCGTCGAATCGGTCGGTATACACATCTTTCTCATGCAGTATTCTCCTTCAATCTTGACAGACGCTTCTTCGCAACGCACGTGCGAGAAACCACCTCGGTGTCGTATCCTAATCCCCCGACACGAAGCCCGATTTCGCACATTTCACTTTCAAATTTTAGGGTCTCAGAGTTACACCAACTCAACAGACGAATGCACGTTACTGGACTTTAGGAAAAAAAGTCTTTACCGTGCCCAGCTTGGCTAAACCAGAAGAGTGGAAATGCCATTTTTTTATTGTCATTGTATGCACGTAAAATTCTCTGGGCTCGTTCAGCTTGTGAGAAGCACAGTTTGTTGTTATCACATGCAATGTGAAGGCCACTGTTGACCGACTGAACGGTTTAGAGACTGTTCGTTTTGGCCGAATCAAATTCGATGCTCGTCGGATGGATGGTTGACGGGCTCACAGAAGACCAATAGAGTAGGCTAGAAGGTCTTGCCATCGGATGGAAGCTTTAGCTTCCATGTCAGTTGGCCTGTCGAGTGTAACGTTTACAAAACCACATTTCGTCACATACTGTTATACGAGTCAAAGGCCTACCTGAGAACGTTTCTAAACCATTCTCCGAACCGAGTGAAAACGTCTGATCCGCATGGCAAATCAAGTTGAATAACGACGCAAAACGACGTGCTATTCGGAGACACCAACAGTTGATGTCACGAAAAAAATCAAACCCGCGTCACTAGCCATCATCCATAATAAGAAAGAAATCAGAGAGTCTCATCATTTCGGCAAAACATTCATGCCATAATGTCCCCAACGAAAGACGAAAACCAGAAGCTGCAAAAGGGGAAGGAAATGTTCACTGAGATATTCCATACTGTAATATTCCATAAGAAGCATCAAAACGATGAATCCTGATGAGCACACACAAGAGCGACTGGATTGTTGCTGCTATTTATATGTGGACACTGGAGTCTCTAGGATCGGCTTGTAAGT